CTCCCATATATATATATATATATATATATATATATAATTTCAAGATTTTGTTTGATTTTAACGAGCACCGCTGAAATTTTGGTAAATACATGATGAAAATTGACCAACTCGATGAGACTGATCCAATAATATCAAAATTGATCAAATTCAAATTCGATCAATCCTTAATTAAGCTATTAAATCACCTTTAGAGGGTTATGTTGGTTATTTGAGGGACAATGAACTCCAAATTTAGCATGTATGTTGTTCATCAAAAAAAAATTTGCGATCAAAGAGAATCAATGTGGGTCATTCGATTAGATGGTTATAGTAATTACTGCTTGAATGAGGAAAACACCCCACCTTTAGGACCTATATTTTGACCACGTCTCTTCATTTAAGAAAAAGAAGAAAAATGAGAAGAAGAAGCTCATTTTAGTATTGTTCTCGGCTGAACACTCGACAATAACTCCCGAGCTTCGTAACTGTTGACTGCAGCTTGTCGCCCACTGTTGATCACCGTCGGCCGCTTACTGCTCCCCGTTGTTGGTGAATTCCACGGAGTAACGATACATATTGCGAAGTAACCAAGTGGCCTGCGAAATGGTGATGCACATTGCAGAGTAATGAATTGTTTTATTGAGTGATGAGATATCTTGTATACAGAAAAATATAATATTCTAAATATTATGTAACGATGTACCCGAATACGGCGTATCTAAGACCCGATGATAACTTCTAGCAGCAATCACTTTCGATCGTTATGCAATAAATCTCTCTCTCTCTCTCTCTCTAAACCTCGTAACGATTTGTCTGTTGCGGGTCAGTTGAGGGATATCAGCCTATATCACATACATAATTTATTCTCTTTAAATTAAGAATTTCAAATTAAATGAAAATAAATAAATCATATACTTAATTTATTTTCTTTCCACTGAATTCAATTTTATAATATTAATACTATTCATTATTTTTTAATTTTCGGTTGAATAAATATGAATACTGATTCAAAAATAAAAAACTGAATATTCAAAATTGTAAATAAATTACTTAATCGTTAATTAAAAATCAAACTAAATCAATAAAATGAGCTCAGTTTGATTTAATCTATGGGTGGTGATCAAATAATACACACCACTTTCCCCAAATGCATTATTAAGATAATAAATTTCAGTACTTTAAGATTTATATTTGAAGTGGGGCCTTAAAAAAAAAATTGCATTTTATATCTTTCATTAAATGGGACTCGACGAAGAAAAAATGATTCATGTAGCAGACCCCACATAGTGGGATTAAGACTTTGTTGTTGTCGTTGTTGTTGTTGTATATCTTTGGCCAAAGTTATGAATGTAAGATAATTCGTTAGCTAATGGTCTATTTGGAGCAATTGCAACTTATTAAAAATCAGTTGTGAATCTGCTAAAAAAAATTTTGATTTTCAAAAAAATTGCGATGACTATTACATTTTTTTTTTTTTAAAAAATGCATATCGCTGCTTGAAAGCTGTTGCCGCACATAGTCAGGACCGGTGAAAAAATACAAATTTTAGCTGCATCTTTTTGAAAAACTACCAAAACGCAGTTTATCCAAAAGACAAAATTGTAGTGCGGCGTTGCACCGCCACCGCATTTTAGCCCCAAACAGCCCTATGCATAGGGTCTGATGATGCTTATAGCTCGATTTAATTTTCTAATTCGACCAAAAAAATAAGATTCAATATGAGATTGAGAACGGAGCTTCTATGTTCTTAAAAAAATTTTAATTTTGAGATAATTAAGATGCATAAATACCAAACAAACTAATTAGGATTAAGAGAATTAGTGCATGTCATATAAAGATATAATTTAAGAATTTAGCCTACTCTATCAAAATATCTGAAGCTAATAATCACTATCATTCAAATATTGCACTCAATTGTTATTGACCATATGCCCGACCCACTCATCATCTTTCAACCATTATTAGCCAATTAGTTCCTAACTACCATTAAACATAACACTCAATACTTCATATCATATTTGAATCATTTTAACATGTAGGATTGTGCATTGCTCGTGAGTTTGTACTAACTGGTGAACACAATATCTTTAGGAAGAAAGTATGAGAAAAAAAAAATATTGGATGTGTTGTTAGAGCTCATGTTTCTCACATAATATTTTCTTAAGGAATGTAATATTTTGTTAGGACTCGTGAGATGTCTTGAATTAGCTCAAAGAAATGGTCTTTGTTTCTCGGTCATGAGAGAGAGAGAGAGAGAGAGAGAATCTTAGAGGTCTTTTTTATTTCTGTATGTTCGATCCCCTAAAACCTCCCTTTGACATCCATTTTATACATTAGAAAAAAGAAATATATAATTACATTTTGTACAGTATAACATCTGTTCGCAGAGTCTTGGTGAAAAGAAGACGATGCGGTGTCAGGCGGCGTCATAAATAAGAATTGACGTGTTGGGATAAAAGATATACACCAGTTGATGTGGTATATATATAAATCAATAAAACAGGAGAACAATCTTTGAAACAAAAAATAGAACGAGAAAAGTTTACACCATAAGATATACACCAGTTGATGTGGTATATATATAAATTAATAAAACAGGAGAACAATCTTTGAAGCAAAAAATAGAATGAGAAAAGTTTACACCAGAAAACAGTAACACAACAGAACACACGGATTTACGTGGTTCGGCCGTGGTTCGGGAAATTGCCAGCGTCCACGGAGTTGCAGAGGATTTTACTACTTGAGGAATTTACACTAGTCGATCACCTCGGCTTACAAGAGAAATCTCTCACTTTGTTGCTCTATCTTCTTCTCTCTTTGTTCTTCTCTCTCTACACCGAGATACACCAAATAAGATAAACTTACAAAAGAAATAAACTCAATTTCTCTTATACTATAAATAACTAAGAAGAAGCCAAGGGAGAACAATCTTCTTCTTCTTCTTTCACCAAGCACACTCACTCTACTTGCACTTCTCTTCATCTATTCCAAGGAAAGAACTCTTCCTCTATTCTGAGGAAGCCAGAAGAAGAACACAAAAATATGACTTTGAAACCCAAGGAGAGCCATCCGAAGCCTTTATCACGAACAAGAAGGAAAATATCATGACAAACGCGACTCTTTGCGAAACAACGAACTGTTCATGGGAATAGTTTGCGGTCTTTCGCGATCAAGCGAGAGTTGGCACCGTTTTGCGATCGGGAGCAAGATCCTGTAGCGAGAGCGGGTTGGGGTCGTGACAGGAGCGGGAGCGATAAAATCAAACTCCAACGCTTAACATGACGTATGTACTAGATGTAATGACATTTCTTTTTTCTAGCGGCTCGTTTTCCCAGACCAGTTGAACCACTTCGACAAGTAGGCTTGGCCCGATTAGTTTGACAGGCGGGCTTAGCTCCAGAATGGCGATCTTCATATCGAGCATTTGAGGTCCGTAATGTCTATTAACCCTTATGTTATGCCTATAGATGAAACTATTGTCTACATATATGGATTTACAATCACATAAAAAAATATAACTATTATTTATTTTTAAAAAGTAAAATATATTTTTATGTGTAAAATCAAGACACTAAAATATTATTGATATAAATATAAAAGATGCAATAATTTAAAATACATAAAAATCAATAGGTGTCCAAAATCGGGCCGTATAAATACGTCCCTTCTCTTTTTCTCACTGCAGCGCGATATCATTTTGGGCATTCGTCGCCTGTGCAGTGTTTTATCACTCCGTGATGGCTGTCGGAGAAGAAAATCCTAACCCTAAACCTTATCCAACCTCCATTGATGATACATCTGCTCTTCTTTCCTCTTATCTCGGTATCAGCTTCGCCGTTTTCCTAGGGTTTATCCCGCGCTCCTCTCTCTCCCACATTGCCTCGCTGCAGTACCGCAACCGCATCCTCTCCCTAAAGCTCTTCCACGCCGAGGAGCAACTTCACCAGATGGTCTCCCGACGCAAGGAGGATTCGAAGGCCAACGCTCGCGTCGTCGAAATTTTTGCTAGCCATCGAAATGCCTGGCAAGAAGATGAGAAACGCTTCCTCAACCGTATCGAAGCCGCAGCTGATGAGATAGCCACGCTTCGTTCGCGGATCAGTGAGATGGAGCGCACCGAGGCGGAACTTCGGTGCTCTATTGAGAGACTCAGGGGTGAGGTGGCCGAGAGGGATGAGATACTCGATTTGATGTCGAAGAAGGAGTCGGCGGCGGGGGTGGATGGGGAAGCAAAGGAGGTTTGGAAAAATGAAGTTCAGGAAGTGTTGGACGTGGAGGAGGAAGAGGAGGGTGATTATTGCTGTGATTACGAGCGAATGGGAACGGTTAGGGTTGCTAAGGGGATGAAACTTGTGCCGGAGTCTTGTTCCGTTGAGGAGAGCGGGGATCCGGATGATATTGCAATGATGTACTGTCGGGAGAACCGATTCAGACCAGCTTTCTTGCCAAACGCTGAATGGCAGGTTAGGACTTGGGATCTCTTAAGCCAAGAGTTTTTGTATGATTGATTTGCTTGAAATCTTTTCATACCAATTTATCAAATACTAGTGTTGTTGTTTTCACACTTTGGATATTTCTTCTACATTTTACCATTTCTTTTTCAATCTTCTTTTGTGGAATCCATTTTCTACTTTTTCCAAATTTCGTTTCGTACATGCACTATGTCATGTATTGCAGCTGTAATTTGTGAACAGCAACTACTTTAACTTCTCGCCGCATTCACGGTGTTCCCGATTTTTCCCTCTTTTCTTTTGATTTCCAAATTATAAACCTTCTGCTCCCAAGTTTACAAGGAAGAAAACAGAATAACAACACTGTTGGTGCAGACTCCATTTCTGTTTCTGTTTTGGCGGATGTTTGGAGGGAGTCCGGAGTATTAGCGGCGGAACTGGAAGGGTTTACCACGGCGTCGGAGCGGCAAAGCTTCCTTGCCGTACAATGGTCAGAGCTTCCATACTTGATATAGCATTAGGAGTTAAACGAGGGTTCAAAAGGAAATTTGGCATCCATATATCTTGATGATTAAGACGCAGAAGCTACCAAACTCTCAGGATGACAACCATGCTGTCTGTTGGGTGGTTTGGAAGATGAACAGATTGCTGAAACTCAGTTAGCCTCTTTTTTTTTTTTTCTTTTGTTTGCTGATTGCTTCTGTTAATTTGTGTGAAGTTCACTACTTAGCTTCTAGTTGTCTTTCATAATATGCAGTTCAATTGACGAACAAGACCTTTATTTTTCATGTTTTTAAAACTCAGGCTCTGTTTGGTGAACTTTTGATTTTGTAAAAGTCTATTATAAAGTTGTTTATAGAAAACAACTTTTTATAGTTAAATAAGGATAAAATCCCGCAATAGTGTGAAATAATGTTTTTAAATAAGTGTTTTTTAAAAAAGCATAACAAACAAACAAGTTAATAAATAAATAAACTAGTTTTTTTCTAAAACAGAAAGCAGTATAAAAGTTTAACCAAACGAGGCCTTAGTGACTAGAATATTCATTCCTATATTCTTGATAAGGTGGAATTGAATCTTTCCAATTATCAAAGTAAATGAATTATGTGTGGTTCTCAATCACCCAATCATCCAAAGCGAATTGGATGGCTGGGATTGATAATTGTAAATGGGTAGTTACCATAATAATTTCAGAAGATCCAGATGTTAAGTGGGGTAGTCATAGTTCATAGGGGCTTGTCTTTTAGTGGTTTCTGTATCTCTAATTTGTTAGATTTAGATCCCCTATCCCCAGGAAAATTCTTTTTGTTTGTGTCAATAGAATAGTTTTTCAGTTCTTCATTTCAACTAGTAAAGTGATATTTTATGTCTCGTTATAATACCATGTGTAGGGCAGTGCTTACTCAATAATTTATCCTTAAATTGCTACAATGCAATAGTTTGAGAAGCATAGAAAATGATATATCTTGAGCGAATGGTTGGTGTCTGTTCCAAAGGTGAAACTTACTATATGTTGGCAGAATTTTCTTTTGATTTTAATTTTTAATTTTTAATTTTAGTTCCTAAGATTTGTAGATTGTTTAAGCAGCATAACTGATATATGAAATGATTTTTTTAGTGAAAGAAAAAGAACATCAATCATTGATGAAAAAAAGAAGATGAAATTTCGAGTTTAATATGAATAAAGTTGTGCAAAATGATGTGTGATAGAATTTACACCTCTTGGAAGACTTTCAATATGATTTATTTAGGATAAGATTAATTAGGATGACGAGGACCCACCATTTTTGTAGTCATTGTCCTCAATGAAATTGTCTGTCCTTACTCAAACTGTTGTATCCTTATTCAAACTGTTGTGAAGGAATTAGAAATTAGTTTAAACAGGAACTAATTATGATTTTTAGAGTATGATCACTCTTTAATGCAACTTGATTTTAACTTGGAAAATTTACATACATGCCACACAATTCTTATGTATTTACATATCTAACTCCCAAAGTTTGATATTTACATTTATAGCACTTTTAGGTTATAAACCTATACATAGGAAGGGACATTTCACTTTTAAAAAGTTAAAGTTATATTTTTGATGTGATTTTAAAATTTTGGTGGTATGTGTAATAACTGGTTAAAATAATAATAATAAATACAAAAATAGTTGTCTTTTAGAGGAGACACCCTCTCACTAGAAACAAATCTCGTGCTTCTTCCGCACTTTCCCTCTCCCAAACCGTTGAACAAGTGAGAAGGAGAGACATTGGGAGAGAAGGAGAAGAAACTAAAAGAGGTGGAGAAGCCGTCGTGGCCAAATTTGAGAGAAGAAGGGCGGAGGAAATCCTAGCAATTGAAGAAGAAGAAGCCGAAGGAGGGAGGATTGTGCGGCTTTTCCCTACCATGCGAAACTTACTGTGCTCGATTGACCACGAGTGATAGAAGTGGGAGGAGAGCAGCCCGCTGTGCGGGTTGAAGTCGAGCTACACTCAAAGGAAGAAGAAGAGGTATGTTGCTCTGTCGAGTGGAGAAGTAGATACATACTCGAAGGAAGAGGAGTAAGAAGGAGCTCGTGGGTGCGGCTCTGTCGAGAGGAGGCACCGACTGAGCCTTATTACAGGTAAGTTATTATTTTGTTATTTAATAAAATTATACACACACATGTGAGTGTGTTTATTTATTAATACTAAGTTTAAGTGTATTATGACTTGAGGTATATAATTTTAACTTGGAGGGGGTAAATAATGAAGTGTGCGAGCTAAGGGATGAGAGATTTATCCGAACAAAATCCGGTAAGATAAGTTTTGGATTTATATTATAATTTAATTAATAAATTTTATATATATTTAAATTATTCTTTAAGTGTTTACAGTAAGTGTATTTGAATCGGGACGGTAATCCTGACACGACTTTTTAAAGACGTTAAAAAGGATACATACTTAAATTGAAATGAGAATAGTTAAATAAAATGAAAGCTTATAATTGATTAAGTAATGAATTACATTTTTTTCTTGTCATTTACACATGCCATTTGCATATTAATTTAATTTATAATAAGATAAAAAATTTCATTAAGTCATGAAAATTTACTGCTATGAAAATTTACTGCTAAATTTAATTTTTTTTTTTTTTCCGGTAAAGGTGTAGATTGCTATGTTTGACACAATATATTTAGCTTATAGGAGACTATTGTTGATAGATATTATGTTGTGTGTTGTGATTGTTTTTGTAATATTTTATTCTGGGCAGTGATATTCTGTGATATGTTGGGTGAGAGATTATCTGTAGAATATATTTTGTTTCTGGGTCATTTGATTTTCATTCAATGTATTTTATGGTTTCTTAGTGGTTCTTTTATAAATTGAAAGTTAATAAAAAGTTGTGGAAAGTAAATGAAATATTAATATCACCGAACAGTTCCTGATGTAGTTAATTCTAAGCTATTATGCTAGATTGTGACAATATGCATGTAAATATGAAAGTTCAAGTGTTAGATATATAAATATATAAGAATTATGGGGTATGCGTGTCAATGCCTCTTTTGATTTTACTTTCTTTCCCCTTTTTGGAGTCTAAAATCAATAATCTAAAATCTAATTGCTGAACTTAAATCACAGCTGCTGAAATTCGCCTGGTTGATAATTTTTTAGCATTTTCCTTTTATTCGTGACCTTTGCGAGGTTATTACAGGAAGCAGATTTCAATAACGATCACAGCTTATAATTTTATCCTAATTTCCTTTTTTTTTATTCACTACTCTTTCCTTCCTTCCAATTTTCCTGATTGTATGGGTTGATTTTATCCCTGCAGGATATCAAGTTTGATTCCCCTGAATCAACGTACTATGGGAAACATAACGTAGCAAGGTACATTTACATAAATAACACACAATTTATATGTATTTACATATCTGGCACCTCAACTTTCTTATTTGCACGAAGCACAAATCCGTAATATCACATTAAAAAATATCTTACTCCTTTTTATAAGTGAAATATATCTTTTAATGCATGCGTATAAAGCACCAAAGTGCCATATATATATATGAAAAAATGAATGTTTAGGTGTGAGATATATAAATTCATAAGAATTATATGCTATGTATGTAAATTTCCCTAGAATTTAATGAACAATGACTTGAATGGCCATATTATCAGGAGAGAGTATCCATGGAAGGTAAACAGTGATGCTGCAGGAGTGTCTTCGAAGCTGAATCTACTCGAGCAAGAGTTGGGTGAGTTGGAGAAGGTAGAGAAAGTGGAACTGACGAAGGTCTCATTATTTTTGAGGAAACTGTGGAAGCGCTACCAATCTCTAGCTGGAAAGATTGATGATTTATGCAGCCGAATGGTAACTTTTTTGTCTTCTCATTTAGTGATTAATCATTTGTTGTTAGGAAAATTTACATAAGCAGCATGCAATTCTAGTGTTTTTACATATCTCGCACCTGAACTTTCTTATTTACATACATTACATTTTAGTGTTTTAAACCCATGTATTAAAATGTGTATTTCGCTTTTAATAGCCATAATAGTGCTATTTTTTTTCTTAATGTGATATTAAAGATTTGAGTGTTATGCGTGTTAAAATGAAAGTTTAGATGTGAGATGTAAATACATAAGAATTGTGTGCTATGTATGTGAATGCCCCATGTTTTCAATGTTGGGGCATTTACACGCATAACACCCAATTTTTATGTATTTACATATGTAACTACTAAAGTTTTGATTTTTATATTTGTGTGACCTAGATCTTTCATATTACATCATTGATACCATTATTTTAATTATTAAAAATTTAAATAAGTCTTTTCATGCATAGGTAAGGTGTTAAATATGTAAATGCATAGAAATTGAGTGGTATGCTTGTAAATCTTCCTTGTACCTTTTTGTTTGTTAACTCTTTTTAGACCAAAAGAGTTTTATACTTTTAATTTAGGGCTGTAAACGAGCCGAGCTTGAGCGAGCTTAGGCTAGGCTCATGTTCGGCTCGTTTGAAATTTACTGTTCTAAATTGACTTGTTCTAAATTGCTTGCGAAAAATGTGCTTTTGTTCGGCTCGATTTACATTTTGCTTGTAAATTTTCCTTGTACCTTTTTGTTGTTAACTCTTTTTAGACCAAAAGAGTTTTATACTTTTAAATAAGGGCTGTAAATGAGCCGAGCTTGAGCGAGCGTAGGCTAGGCTCATGTTTGGCTTGTTTGAAATTTATTCTATTCTAAATTGACTTGTTCTAAATTGCTTGCAAAAAATGTGTTTTTGTTCGGCTCGATTTACATTTCCTTGTTTGTGGTCAAGTGTTGCTCGGTTTGAAATTAGCTCCTTTCAATTAATTAGAAAAATAGATGTAGGAGGTTGGATTATAACCTACACCATCTATATGTAATAAAAGCGCAAAACCACGTGACCACACTGTAGTGATTAAACTTATATATAAATATATATATAATATATTATTATATAAATAATATATATAATTTCTTTATTTCGAGTTAAAAAAGGCTGGACACGATCAAGCAAAAGTTGTTTGTGTTTGGCCTGTTTGCTTAATGAACAATTTGAACACTACTTAACGAGCCTAACACGAGTTATTTGCGAACAACGAGCTTTTCGACGTCTCTACTTTAATCAAACTGCTTCGTCACCTCTGCAAATTATTACAACATGATTTGTATCTTATTGTTCATGTGTTCCAAACCCGAAGATTAAATTCTTATTTTAATTTAGATATCAAAATTTTGTTGTTTGATATGTAAAGACATAAGAATCGTGAGTTATGTATGAAAATCTATGAAAAATAAAAAAAGAAAACTTAGGCAGTCATTTTGTAAATAACAATATTTCAGTTGATATTTCTGTAAATATCCCTTTTTCTTTTTTATCCTGATTGTTCCAGCAACTCAGTGATGCCTATGAGCCAACTCTGAGCCCTGAATTCCGAACTCAGCAGCAGACTGTCTATCTCGTAGAAGCATCCGCCCTCCAGCTTCGCGCAAAAGAGATGAGGCAGAAGCTAAACACCCTTCAGGCCGAGACCGCCACCGTTCATATCGGAGATGAGCTCGCCGCCTCGGCCAAGCTTTCCATGAGGAGATCAATGGACTCCATGAGAAACGGCTTCAAGGAGATGCAGAGGAACCTCGAGATCTGGTTGGCCAGGATCATGGGCGACCTCGAGGGCGTTCTTGCCAGAGAAGGTAAATCAAGAGTAAGGGATTACTATCTCTCTCAATACCCTTTTATTTAGTATTGTGAATTTCGCTCGAACTTCGTTAATCGCTCAAAAAATTTATTCAAATTTTGGTTCGGATCGAGATTTATGAGTCCCGAGCTATGAGAGCCCTAATTTTGTTAGGGCTGTGAATTTAACAAATTTAGTTCGAAGATCATTATTCGCTCGAATTCATTCGAATTTTGGCTCGGATCGAAATACGAGCCAAAATTTTGGGTCAAATTTTTTTCAGAGTTAATTGTTGAAATTGTTAGCGCCCTTACTTTTGTTTTCCGCTAAATAATCTTGTAATTATATATCTTTTATTTTGGGGGCATTTATTAGATTCATGTCAGACATGTTCAATATGTAAATATTCATATTCACACGCTTACCACTTGAATCCTTGGGGAGATTTACTTATGTGCCACACAATTCTTCTGGATTTATAGATCTACCATCTAAAATTTGATATTATATTTATACCATCATTTTATAGCTATTTTGGCTTCAATCCCCCTTTTTAAGCGCAAAAATTGAAGATTTAGTTACGATTGAAAGTTTTGTACTATTATCCATAGATCTTTTCTTCATACTCATTTAATTGGAAGAATTGAACCAATCAAAAAAATTATGCTTCTCGACTCCATAATACAATTTTTTTATGAAAATTATGATTGTCTTTTGGATAGAAATCGTGATAATGTATATTTTTTCCTCAAATGTGCTATTGAGGGATAAAGTATTAAATCTTTTTAAGAAATAAAGTTTTTGATCGGAATATGAAATATGAAAAAAAAGGAAAGACCCCTTAACTTTTGAAGTTGTTAATAGAACGAATCACACTTTTACCACTAAACTATACCCGCTACATATTTATTATTGGATATAAAAGGGCCTTTTGTCTAACAAAGTAATTAGATGTAGTTAAGATAGTATCAGAATCATGAAAATTTCAGCATTAACACGGTTAAAAATATCACTGTTAATGTTTGACTCGTGTTATTTTGAACTAAAAAAAGTTGTTCTCGTTCGGCTTGTTTACTTAGGAGTCGAACACTAGCTTGAAAAAAAAAAAAAATCATTTTGAGAATCTTAGTCATGCATGTAGTCGTCAGGGGTGTAAACGAGCTGAGCTTGAGCAGTCTAGACTCGGTTTGTTAAAAAAATATGATTGTTTGTGTTCAACTCATTTATATATCAAAATCAAATAATTTATGTTTGACTCGCTTGTTTATCTAGTCTAACACGAGATATTCACAAACAATGAGATATTTTGACAATCTTAATCAAGCAACCTTAGGATATTAAGAGTGTGAAATTTAAATCTTGTTATCTATATTAAAATATTTATTTGAAAAGAATTTAATATATTTTAAATAAGTAATTTTAATTGATTTTAAATCTTTATAGAATGTTAGTCAATGAAATTATTTAAAAATAATATTATATATATATATATAATTATTTTGAGCTAAAGCGAGTTGAATATGAATGAGGGAAGATTTGTTCATGTTCGGCTCGTTTGATTAACGAATGAATCAAATACGAGCTACTAAACGAATTGAACATGAATTATTTTTAAAACTCAAATATCTAATTTGGGTAATATATGTAAATACTTAAGGATTGTGGGGTGTGTTCGTAATTTCACCTATTTTTTTTTTATGTTATGACCATGAAACGCCACTCTTCACTCTTGCCGCAGTGGTGGGTCTTACTGTCAGCTTGCTTTCGCTGTACAGCCACAAATTTAAATAACACTGTAGCTTTGAAATCTGTGCTTGGATCTGAAGATACCTGTAGTTTCCCCAAGAAACCTATAAAAAAAGGGACGATTACATACACACCGCTCTAAACTTTCAATTTACAAATCAACCACCGTCATACATTATTCAAATTCTCACGCAAATGTCAAAATTCATTGCAAAAAAACACTCCTATTTTTCATTTTTTATCTAATTCTTAATAATTTTATTGTGACATGCATAAATATTTGGGTTCGGTAGTTCCAAGAAAATCAAGAGTAGATTTATAAATATCATAGTTTATCAATATTTGTTATAGTATGATTCATATATCATATAAGAGACAGATGTTGGAACGAAGTGGAGCGGAGCAGAAGAATCTGTCCAAATCTAACCCCACCTTGCTTACGCATGAAAAAAAGTGCATTTCACTAATTAATGAATGTGCGATGAAAGTATAGGTGCAAATATGTAAATAAACATGAATTGCATGGTATGTATGTAAATACCCCCAAAAATAATTGTCAAAACTCTCTCTCTCTTACTTCTTCTCTTCCTTGTCGGCCTCAGCAGCCTTCTTCAATCTGGCACCAAGCTGCCGCGCGTTCATCCTCTCAACACGAAGCTTTCCATAAGCCATGAACGTCTTCATTTCCTCTGTAACTTCCGCCATCTGAACTGAGGGCCGCTCATGCACGACAGGCATGTAGCCATCCTTCACCTGCGCGGCAGAAGCAAGCTCCTCCGCAGTAGAATCACCAGCCTATAAATATATTAGAGGAAATATATAATATTTTAATATAAAAAAGATAATAAAATAATAAATAAATTTTTTATGTATTTACGTATTTAACACCTAGAGTTTAACATTTAAGATTCCATAAAATTATGCAATAGAAAGCGTTTCCACTTTTAAAAAGTTGAGTGTTATGGTTTTAAATATAAAAGAAAAAAAATTGGGATAATTACATGTAGAACACCTCAAACAATGATATTTACAAATTGACGAATTTGGTGATTGTTATGAACTACAGAATTGAAGTATTTATGCGTGCCACGATCGGACTATTGAGAATTTGATAAAAAAAGAAAAAATAGGAATTGGGGTTTTACAATGAATTTTGATATATGGGGGAGAATTTGAAAATTGAATGAAAGAGGGTGGTTGGTTTGTAAATAGCAAGTTTCGGGTGGTGTGGATGTAATGTCCCCAGAATTAGGTGTTAGATGTGTAAAGACATAAGAATTGTGTGGTATGTATCAAAAGTTTATCACCAGTACCATAAGCTCAACAATGTTGGGAGATTTACAGAAAAAAAAAAAAAGAAAATTTACATACATACCAAAAAAATATTATGTATTTACATATCTACCACTTAAAGTTCAACATTCATGTATATATAACACTATGATGTCATAAAACTATGCATGAAAAGAGGTTTTTTCTTTAAAAAGTAAATGATATTGATATTTTTGACCAAAGAGTTGAGTTCTATAAGCATGTAAATTTAGGTGTTAGACATGTAAACAAATAAGAATTGTATTGTGTTGTCTGTATGTAAATGCCCAAATAAATTGATATAATCAACCTTAAAATTCCGGGCATGCCTCGGGAAAATCACAAGCTTTGCTTTGTATGTTTTAAGCCTTTGGATGTTGGCTTGGAGGCCTTCCAAGGAGTGGTTCTTCCTACGATGATCAACTGCAATGCCGATGGTAGGGGCGAGCTTCTTCGCAACTCCTGCAGCCTATATAAGACCACAAACATACATTTATAAAGACGACCACATAATGACATAATTTGTGGCGTGTCTGAAACGTGTTAGAACTGTGTCTGACGCAAACATGAAGGCCATTCTGATTCAGAAGTGTCTGTGCTTCATAGGTCGTGGCGTAACAATTTCACCAAAAAAGTGTGAATTCATAGTGCCATAATGCTTATAACAAAATACATCAAATAGCAATATAAATATCACTATTAGCAAAAATAAACAAATTTTGACGATAAGATTTGCCAAATTACCTTTAGTTCCTCAAGAGTAAAGCCTCTACCTGCTCTTGGCTTCATGTTGTACTTCAGTGTCTGGCACCGGACAACCGGGCGTAGGGGACCAGCCGTTGGGCGGGGGAAGATCTTCGCAGCCTTCTTGTGTCTAGCTGAAATTTCAAACCAGAACTAAATCAATTAAAGAATATAATTTTAGGAAGAAATATACTGAAGGGAAATTTACATCTGTAGTGCACAATTCTTGTGTATTTACGTATCTTACATCTAAACTTTCATATTTTGCATGCATGGTATGTTGGAGCTTTAAACCTACGCATGAAAATGGGGTTATTTAACTTTTAAAAAGCAGTAATAGTATTATTTTTGATGTGATATTAAAGAATTGAGTGCTATGCGTGTACATATGAAAGTTAAGGTGTGAGATGTGAATACATAATGATTGTGTGTTATGTATGTAGATGCTTCAATAATGAAATAATAATAAAAAAGGGGCGTTTACATGCATACCACCCCCATTCCTATGTATATACACATGTAACGCCTAAACTTTACATTTTACAATAATACTACCCAAATCTTTCATATAACATAAAAAAATACCACCATTTTAACTTTTGAAAAGTGAAACACACCTTTTCATGGATAGGTAAAGTGGAATGCATGTAAAAAAATGAAGTTTAAGTGTTAGATATGTAAATACATAGGAATTGAGTTGTATGTATGTAAATCTTCTTTAAAAAGAAACTCTAATTAAGGCTCAGCCAAAATCTAGTTGAAGATATTTGTAAATAACAAGAAGCCTACCAAAGCGTCTTCTGGTCTTTCGCGCGGGTTGGTTAAACCAGGTTCTCACATAGTTTTGCCAGTGCTTTTTAAAGTGACCGTTAGGCACTATGTTGTTGTGCTTCACCATGATTATAACTGGAAACCGTTCATAACAATTGAGAAAAATAAGATAAATCATTACAGCAATAACTCACATATCTGACAACACTTCAAACTTGACAATCAATAGACAAGACTAAACATGAAGCCGGTAGATTATTGCAAGCTCTTAATAGCCTGTTTTCAGGTTCAAGATTAAGGTTAAAAGAAATTAATGCTATCAATCTATCATCAAGCTCTATGATCACATGAACTCTCATTCTCTTCCTCACAATATATGCTTTACAAAAAAATTTGTTAATCCAACATGATTAATTTCAATAATAAAGGAATAATCATGACAAAAACTAAAGCCCTGTTTAAGATCACTTTTGCTTGTTGTTTTCTATTTTTTGTTTTGTTTTGTTTTATTTATGTTTTGCTTTTATCTAAGCATGTTTGGTTGTGCTAGTTGATTTTAAAAACATTCTAAACATCTTTTGAGTGTTTAAAAAAAAGTAATTTGTTCTTAAAAAAAATAAAATAACATATAAAAATTATACTATTCAAATATATTTTCAAAAACAACAGTAAAAAAAGGAAAAAGAAAACAAGAAATAAAAGTGATGCCAAACAGGCCCTAAATGTTTGTTGTGCTGCAAACTTCTCTTTTTTACCATTATTCAAATAGATTCCTTATCCAAAGTCAAAATTCTTATTTGCTGCTTTGGGAAGATTGCTGCCCATTAAAGGAAAGAAATGTCGACTTCATTAAAAATCTTTAAAGCAACCTCTAAGAAATCATCTGTGCATTGCGTGGTTTAATTTTGTTAAAATATGAGGGGAATTAAGATGCAAGTGCTATCTATCACATATTTTGTTTGGTTTATGTTTATAAAGCAAATACTATGCAAGCACTTCAAGATATTTAGAAGACATGTTATAAGAATAATAAATTTGGTCTCAAATCTACTTAAATTTCAACTTGAAAGAAATCAAATGTTAGAGCACAAATTAAGATGTTTAAACTTGAATTGATGCTACAGTCTTTTAGGAAAAGAATGATGAACCATAATATAGCAACAAAAGACATCAAGCACCACAAGAACAACACACAAAAATTTCTACATCCACAAGGGAGGAGTACCCCCATCTAATAACAAAGAAATAACAATCATGAGCCCTTCTCAAAAGCCAAGTATACCCAAACTGAACAAAGTAAAAATGAAGCACCAAATATCCCAAGACAAATAAACTAAAATAATTTCTAAGAAATAATAAATAATAAATAATAAATGAATGGTGATTAATAAAAATCCAGAAGATTATCAACGGCAGAAGTTACTAAAAAAGGGACCATCAATTCTACAAGATGCTATTTTGAACTCCCAAAAATATACTTTTTGTTTAATTTTATTTTCTTTCTTTCCCCTCCCCTCCCCTCTTCCTCCTATCATCAATTCCTTCTCAACTCCAGAAAAAATTCAAGATTGCCTCATGATTCAATAAGTCAATTTATTTAGCCGCCACAGAGTATTAATATATCTGATTTATGTTGAGTCACCAAACAGTTTCAACCATACTTGTCAATAATGAATGACACAACATAACGCAAACGTCTCCATACTGCCATATTGTATCGCGCGTCATGTTTAATATGTCTAAAATTTATTAAAAAATTCAGATAAATATAAAAGAAGATTAAATTAAAAGATAATCCTTTTAAAATTTTGTTTGATTTCAAAATTTCATCAACAAATTTGTTGCCTGCCCATCAAGTAATTCATGCAAGAATATCGAGTAAACCCATATTTTTAAAATTTTGCACAAGAGGCTTGAAAACAATCTCACAATGAGATTCATGCATGCTATTAAGAAAATATTTAATAGATCTCCACTTAATATTATTGAGAAATCTAAATTTCCTTCGTACTTCTCTCCAAGTCAAGCAATCTAAGATACTAAAGCCTTTGAAGCTCGACACCGCGAAATCTCATTAGGTTTAAATATCACCCAAGTTAAGTAGCTACGAGAAATATATGCAACACAAATGTTGCATTATGATATGGTACCATTAAAACTAATCAAACACCACTAATAGTTGTAATACAAATTTATATTACAAAAAGACTTTGCAAAAAGGAACTTTAATCAACTCCTAATGCCTCTCCTTCAACTTGCACATCAATTTATTCCAGAACATTTCCCACAAACTAAAATCAAACTCTCTTTTGCTTCTCCAGAGATGTTTTACTAAAATTATAAGTATAATGCCCAATGCAATCAATAGAATCGACCACTCTATTTGATTCTTCACAAAACCTAAGCACTTTTACAAACCATAAGGGCATTAAGATCACTAGAAAACTGACATCCTATAACAATGATAGCACTTGGAAAATTTAGACTCTTTCTCAAAGTTAGAACATGCCCAGCTATGAAAGTTACATTATGAGTCTCCAACTTTACAATGCAAATCCTCTGCTCATGTACAACTCCATTTCCCAAATAAATGCATTCCCCGGAGCTCTCATATGTAAAAAAAATCTCCAGAAACTAACACGTGAGTCCAGCAATTTAAGTATATAATCCGCTGCTCTTAGCACTAGTTCCCATCAATAGCCAAAAATTTATCAACAATATTAGAACCAAACCAATCTACAATTACAGTTGCATCTACTAACTCCTCTTTGTTGTCAATAGCACAAGGTTCTTCCCTCTTTAAAGCATGAACGACCCTCTTTATATGCAGTTTTTTCTTGTAATAAAAAGAAATAATATTCTTAAACTTGCTACAGCAACTTGCTCCGGTTATGACTAGAAGGTGACTAGTGCTTATAAATCTCCCTCTTACCTACAATAAACTTTTAGTTGAATTATCATCTCCCTAGAGCTTACCTATCACCTTCTTTAAAATAAGTTAGTAATTGACACCCTCTTAGCTTATTACATCATATTCACATAGCACGGTTTCCCAAACATGGTTAAGAGGAGATAAAGAGCATATTATCAATAAAGCTTAATTTTCTTTCTCCACAATCACATCACTATTCCTCGCTATGATAAAACTAGACACATCTGAACATTTGATCATGTACAAATACTCAAGTTTGAACCACAAAACTTTTGCAATTGTTTTCTCTAAGAACATCAAAGTTGCAAATGAACCAAGCCAAACTGAGAAAAAAATGGTTTGAGCTCAAGCTCATTTGCTAAAATTAGTTAATGCATGGCTCAAGCTTGATTGGAGTATATGCGACAATGTTCAAGTTAAAACTTTCAGTTCATTTAAAATAATGGTTATTTGGCCTTAGTTTGAGCTCAGCACAAATTTATTATAAATTATAATTACAAAACAGTTATTGCGCAACTTATTTGGGCAAATAGATGAGTATTATTAAGCCAATTAAATTAGTCATACTATTGAGTTAGTTATTAGTTAGCTAAATGAGCTTTTATAGAGCCTACCAACAAGATAAATTGTCGACTAACTTTTTGGCTAACCACATGAGATTTATAAAGCTTGTAAGCGAGCAATACTATCAAACAAAGTGTTAGCTAATTGCACGAGCCTTAACAAACATCTTCTTAATGAACATGAAATATAATGAAATTTCTTTTATTAGAATTAATTCAAACATAATGAAGTATTTAAAATTTTAAATGAAATTATCATAGACTTAAGGAAATATATTATTGATTTCTATACGTTGAGACTTAAAAAGGTATATTATTGAGCTTAAATCAGGTCAGGCTTCTATAAGAGCTTATTTATATGCTTCATATGATATTTTTCATGAACATCAATAAATCAACCGCTTACTTGTTCGAGCTTCCTCATTTGTTAGATAAGAATTTATGAAAAATGCTTAAATGGATGTTTGGTTTGTTGAAAAGGAATGCAATATAGAAAAAACACACTGTAAATGAAATGTAGTGTTTTTGAAATACTTAATTGTTTGGTTTGGGGTAAAGTAAATAAAATAGTTTAGAAATTTTTGTTTGGTATAAAGAAAAATAAAATCAATATAAAACATGTTTGACAATGCTAGCAGCAAAAACTAGTGATGATGACTCTTGTAGTGGTCCATAGAGGTGGCGGTCGCGGCAAGGACAAGCTGTAGTTTGTAGTGTATTTGAAAATCGTTCAAATCTAATTAGTTCGGTATACACCAGTTTTGGATAAGAGAGTGAATTACAATCCAGTTTCATTCAACCTAACGCCAAAATTTTGGGAACTCCTATATGTTTTACTACACAAATTCAAAGAAACAAACAACCCCTAAGTTTATTTAGTTATTTAATTAAATGATCATAAATAAGTTAAGTTAGTTGGGCTACAAGTAAGTTGTTGAGCATATTGGCTTATTTGTAGCCCTACTATAATCATTAAGAGTCTTTTCATCCATCATTATCATCTCTTCTTCATATATGATTCAAAGTATCTTAGTACACCATAACTACCTATTACAGCATTACCTATTACAGCATCACACATCACGGAACTCCAAAATTCAAAACTCTTTAACCCATTAAACTTCACATTCTCGGGCTTCATGTTATCAAATTCCTCATAAATCCCTACATTGATACTAGTTATTCAAAAAATAATGTCAAACTTTATGCTATGGGAGTATCAGCAACATAAAAAAATAAG